AAGATTTCTTTTTCAAAATTATTTTGGACTTTTTATTTATCAAGGAATCATGAAAAAAGTATGACAGTTTTCAAAAAAAAAACCAGCAGAACAGCATATTATCAGCATATTAGAATGACTTCTGAAGAATCATGTGACTAAAGAAAATGCTGAAAATTCAGATTTGCATCACAGGAATAAATTACATTTTAGAATACATTCAAATAGAAAACAGTACAGTAATAATATTTCACAATAATCCTTACTGTATTTTTGATCAAATAAATGCAGCCTTGGTGAACGTAATAGACTTTCAAAACATTAAAAAAAAATCTTACCGACCCCAAACTTTTGAACGGTAGTATATGTGTCATTTGCAACTGATGTGTAATGCTGACCAGAATACTTCTTATGGTGGTGTCTGTGTAGTATTTTCCTGCGTTGTTTCAAGTCAGTTTGTTATAATGTTTTTTTTTTTTTTTTTTTATAAATCATTTTAGCTTCATGCCACGCCCAAAATTGAGTTCTCACCACTGGATGCATGGAACTCAGGTAAAAGTGTATTTGGTGGAAGATGCTTGTATATAATCAGTTTTTACCACACATGTAATGTGAATATAATATGAATATAATGTAGTCTTGTGATCGCTCCATTTTTTTCACTCAGGGGTCCAGAAGTCTATCCATGCCCTATCGGTCACCCCGTCCACAGTTAGTGACTACACCAAACAAGGCCTCCAATACGTTAAAGACCTCACAAAATGAGCATTTAGAACTTTAAAGTTAGTATTAGATGCTCTCGAAATATTTCAGTGGATGAAAAGACTTACACACTTCGAGAAGCTTTTCCCCTGCATATATGTCACAGACTAAATTCCGTTATGGAACAAAAATTAGAATTATTATGAGGATAGTAATGGTACAAACTCAATTTTGCTCTTCGGTAACAGAAAAATACAGTTGTAAAGCATTGAGATGAATCAAAAATAATTTGAAGATCATAATATAAGTGGGTTATATGTATATTGTTATTCAGCTCTTTTATTTATTTGAGAAATCTCTTTCTGGAAATGTTCTATTTTGGCATTGATCTTCCCCTTGATCCATCCAAAATTCACCCTTTTTATATAGGCACAAAAGGACTGCAACTGAGTTTTGTATAGTTTATAATCCCATGTTTCTCTGTCTAATGTAAAATAAATCATGTCAAATATTTTGAGGGATGTAGTTCTTCTGCGTTAACGTGTTTGCTAACAACTACTATTTGTTTAAAGCTTGGTAAGACTAGATTAAGATTGGAGTCAGTCTAACCACATGAAAGCATTACTTAGTAACACTTTTCAGCTTTACCGCAGAGTAATGCTGCTTTCATGTCAAGATAGACCCCAACACTTTTCTGCACGTCCTGACTCATTTTGAAAGTTTTGCAGTGGCCGCACATGTCGTCTTACCAGAACATGTTGATTAAAGAACATGTATTTGCTTGGAAACATATTAGGGGTTTGTGCATTTCCTGTTGGTTTTACAGACAGTTTAGCAAGTTACTGAGCAGTAAAAACTAGTAGGCCCTACTACCATAACTAATAAAAGTTCTCAAGCTTATTGAGGGCAAGTAAATAGTTAAAACAAAGACACAAATGACAAACAATAGAACAAATAAACATTGCTTTAAATTTTTCAGATAAGGATATCTAACAATAGTATTCAGGTAAGAAATTCCACAAAAATTGAATAAAGTAATCAAATGTAACAAAACAAACAAACAAAAAAACCTGTATGAATGAAATATACACTGAATTCTATTAAAGCTCCAAAAATTATCCAGTCAAGAGCATTGAGCAATTTTCTCTCTTTCTTTTGTTTGATTAACATTAATGATATAGACAACAGCAGGGTTATTAGGTTACTGTCACTTTAAGACCTAATGCACCTGTCTAATATACCGACACACCTCTTATTTTCTCCCAACTGTTTACATTCACGAAGACATAACCAATTTGTGATGACAAAAGTACGCATTTTTAAATATTTTCTTGTGTGTTTGATGCATGCACCTGAAGCCCAAAATATACTTTGCATGTCCAAGTTCCGCTCCATCTCGGAGCTCGCACACAGAGAGAAGAAACTCTTTACTTTCTCATTCATCTTTGATTCTTGATTGTGCTGTCTTAAAAAAGTCTTGCCAACTGAAAGCTGCACAGATATACTTGCATACGGAAATAAACAGGACACATTTATAGGACATAAAAGATCACAATCTCTATGATTCATTTGAAAAGTAGGTTGTGGACATCTTAAAGATCGATCAAGATAAAAAAATCGTCACCCCTGATGAGAACTTTAGTTGTAGAGTAACTGATGTGATGGCAGATGCTCTTTCTGGAGGAATTTCTTTTTCGTTTTCTTTCTTTTTTTCCCAGCCTGGGCTGCTTCATGCAACAACAACAAATCAATTGCTTGTGTCCTAAGGCCTTTTCAAATTAAGCTTAAAATATACATTTATTTTTGTGTAAGTGTCTTCTCTTTTTTTTCCCCCCAGTGCTACGTTTATTTTTGTTTAACAAGACAGTTGTGTAACTTAGGATGTGGTGGTGAACTTTAGCAGTGTTTGAGAATTAAACAGCCCCCTAACTGGTTTCGCTCTCTCTGAAGTGGCGCTTTAGAAAGAAAAAATGCAGAGTCATTGCTTATTGTGTTTTTGTTGTTCTTTTCTCAGTTTTATTGACAAGTTTGACAGCGAGCATTCACATGGCACCATAAAAGCTGAGCTTGACATACTGCACAACAAAACAATGCATTTTCATAGGCATCAAGCACCTCCTTTGATCACCTCCTTGATCCAGAATCTGTATTTTGAAATTTCAGTGTAAACATTGGGAACATTTGGGTAGTCACAGCGTCCCATGTTGAAAGAGACAATTCCGACTGCTGTCCCACTGCACACCAATGGTCCACCCGAATCACCCTGCAATGACAATGCATTTGAGATTGATTCTAGACACATTTTGTATTGAGTTCAGAAGAATATAGACTCACAGAATATGAACTTCCTCCAAAATATTGCTTTAGACGTACCTGGCAAGTGCCACTTTTGGTCTCGAAACCCCCAGCACACAGGATGTTTTTGGGGAGGTTCACTCGCACTTTTTTCCACATTGTCTGGCAGATGGAGGAGTTGATAGGTGACACATCTGTCACCAGCAGATCATTCACCACATTTTCCTGTTCAGTTTGACCCCATCCTGCAACCTGGCACTTGGTCTTTGGCTTCAGGGGTTTGTCCTTGCTCGGGATTTTGATGGTTTTCACACCTTTGCCGGTTTTCAGCTTCTTGGACAGCTAAAATTTCACATATGAAAAGTGTGGTCTTTGTGATTACCATTAATGGTTTATTTAATCTAATTATTTAATTTATAATTAAAATGTAAATGTATGTATTATTATTAAATTCTAAAATAAAATTTAAGTATTTATACATTTATATTTAATAATAAACTTAATATTGTTATATTTTATAATATATTTACATTTATTTATGAATATTGTACCTTCAGAAGCATGATGTCATTCCCAGTTTTGGCATCTTTGTAGGATGGGTGCTTATGTCTATTTTGCACTGTATATCTTCTCAGATTTGCTCCTTGTGGACTGATGTTGTGGGTGCCCAGGATCACAGTCATGTTACCACTTTATTCATAGCATGAACATAATTGCATATTAGTAAACAGTTTTGCTGAACACCAAACATATTCCAGGTTAACAGTTGGCTTTACCTTTTATCGCAGTGTGCGGCTGTGAGCACATAGCTCGGGTTGATCAGGAATCCTCCACATTTGTGTTTTCCATCAATCTGCACTGATGCCATGTACAGCATGGAGTTCTTCTTGGCTTTTTTGCCATTGATGATATCAGCTCCAAATGTGCCTAAGCAAATAAAGATGCAAAGATGCACGTTAGAGAAAAACAGTTCAGTTATCATTTTATAATCAGTTAAGCATGATTTTACTAACCAGTCAGTATCAAGCTCGTCAAAGCCACTGAGAGCAACAGGCCATACACTGCACTCATCTTCATAATGCGCTGCAGGTACGACCACCACAGTCATTTATATAGCTCTCTACCACATGACATTCAGTGATGACGCAAGATGCAGAATTTGCTACTTTACTCCAAATATGTTTTGCTTTCCTTCGATACAAGATCTGCTCCAGCATATCTTGGTAAAACTGATGTCTTTCAGGTGCAGTTTAATTTCTTTGGCAGCATTGTTCTAGACTATTTCTGATGGATTCCTGTGAATGCTCTTTGGGTTTCATCAAACCTGTATATATATATATATATTTTTTTTTTGTCATGGCTTATTTTCAATGTACAGTAGATAAATGGATAGGCAGTGAATTTGCTAGATTTTATACAGCACAGAACGTGTACCACAAAATGATGTGGCGCCTTTTATGAATAGGGTGTCCCAGATTGGGACAAATCCTTTGTTTTTTGTTGTGAAACTAGTGTATATGTTTGTTAAATATCACCTACAATTAAAAGTTGCTTTTAAACGCATCAAATGTCTTTATCACTGCTTTAAATGATGGCCTGCCCCTTTGTGGTCTTGACCTTCTTTACAGTTTTCAGTTATGACAGGCTAAGTTTGTGACCCTGTTACTATATGTATATATATTCATACTAGAAAATAAAAGACACACAAATGTGAGTTTTAAATTGTATTTGGATTCCCAATTTTTAGTATCATCAAAAAATCAATTAGAAAAAAAAATTCACAATCAACTTTTCTGAATGTTAAACACCTTTTACTGACCTTTTGTTGGAAGGAAAATGACTCATTTTGTACCCTACTGATGGAAAATTTCAAATTCACATTTCAAATGTGTATATCAAACCAAAATTCAGTCACCGGTATCTTATATACTATCCATCCCTGATTTATTGTGTCCTTGTATAAATGCATTATTATTGTAACCCATAACATACACAAAAGCATGGACATTTTGAGGTAGTTTTTCTCAAAAACCGCAATCTGCATGCACAGAAAAGTTCATTGTGAAAATACAGACACAAGTCATCAGCAAAACAATTTTATTTGGGCAGCATTTTATGTTTAAGCATAATTTGCAAGTGCTGTGGACAAAAAAAACTTAAGTTTCTTTTTTCTTCATCATTGCTTTGATCCAACGTGCATATTTTGAAATATCAGTGAAGATATTTGGTACATCAGGATATTTACACCCCTTTGTGCTGAAGGAGACAATGCCCACTGCCATTGAATTGCACACCAGCGGACCTCCAGAATCACCCTGCAAGAATATATGTGAAGATGGGGTTTAATAGTAGAACAATGGAACGTCCCTAACAAAAAAAATAAAAAAAATATATATATATATATATATGAAGATGAGACTGGAGCTAGTTGTCACACTTTATCTTTCTCAGTTGTCTCAAAACCTCTTATAGTTTATGCACTTAAGAAATTGTGACAACTTGCCCCTGTCTCTCCTGTATGTTTATTACCAAGCACACTCCTCCATTCTGTTTATATCCTCCAGCACAGATGATGTTTGGTGGAAGTTTTGTGATGCTTTCTTTGTATTTCTTCCATGCTTCCTTGCAGTTGTGGATGTCAACAGTTGATACATTCAAGGCCAAAAGGTCATTGACTACTTTGCGCTGTTTAGTGGAACCCCATCCAGCAACCAAGCACTGGGTATTGCTTTTAACGCTGTAATGTAGTTGTGGGATTTTCACCGTCTTCACCTTTTTTTCCAAAACTGCTTTCCTAGAAATCTGAAAATGCAAATAGTTAGTTATTAAATGTACACTTGTTTGGTCTTGTTCTTCTTGTGAAAATGTAATCACAACCCAACAGGTGTTTACCTTTAGAAGCATGATGTCATTACCCATCTTAAAGTTTTTGAATGTTTTTGGTATAAATTTGCGAATCACATCATATCTTTTTAGATTTTTCTGTGGAGAAATATCATGGTCGCCAAGAACAACAGTCATCTCTCCACTGGAATCAAATAAAGCAGAGTCAAACTCCCATTTTCCTGAATGCCAATCATCCATCATTATTTACTCATTCCAAAGTCATAGGACTTTTTTTTTCGGTGGAACAAGAGCTTAGATATTTAATTCAGTGATGAATATGGCTCCAAAAATGAACAACTTACCTTGCACAGTGTGCAGCTGTAAGAACATATTGAGGAGATATCAGAAATCCTCCACATTCATGTGTTTTATTGTTCTGCACTGAGACCATGTATTGCAAGGAATTTTTTGAAGCTTTTTTCCCATTGATTATGTCAACTCCAACCACAACTATTAAGAAAAACAAGACAGAAATAACTATAAACTTTAAAGGCACAATTGCAACTTGTAAAGGTTAAGGATTACTAATGAAAGAAGCTACCTGTGATGTGCAGTGTGGTCACAGCTGTGGCGAACAGGATCGCAGTGAAGCATGTCATTGTGCTTGTGGAATGTTGAAAATGGGTCACTGACTTTTAAACTACTCAAAGTAAAAGGGCAGGCCTCCCTTCAGAGCAAACCACAACATTTCCTGGATGTTTCTTCAGTTAATTAAATGTACACTCTCAGAAAAAAAGGTACAAATGCTGTGGGGCGGTACCTTCTCAAAAGGCACACCTTTGTACCTAAAGAGTCTGTATTGGTATACCTTAAAGGTACAAATTAGTATCTAAAGTGTACATATTAGTACCTAAAAGGTACAAAAGTGTACCTTTTGAAAAGATACCACCCCAGTGGCAGCTTTTGTACTTTTTTTTCTGAGAGTGTAAAATGTGAAAGTTATTATGTTTAAACATGGTTTCATTGTAATTCACCCAAAAATCGTCCCCATCGTCCATTTGTATAGACAATTTCCACAGAAGGAAAAAGTCACAAGAGTCAGTAAATGATGACATTTATTTTTGGGTGAATTTTCCATTAATTTCTATAAATGGTACATTTTTAGGTGGATTTTCCTGAAAGGTACACACACTGTGGGTCTGTTTGTCAAAACATGGCTGACTTGCTTTGAAAACCCTGACCAGCTTGGTTCAACCAATGGTGTGAGTTTGGGCAGAGCTGCCTGACCAATGGCATATGAGGAGAGGCTGTGGCCTTGCCAAGGTCTCATGACCTTGCGTACGCATGTTAATTAAATGTACACTCTCAGAAAAAAATGGTACAAAAGCTGTGGGGCGGTACCTTCTCAAAAGGCACACCTTTATACCTAAAGAGTCTGTATTGGTATACCTTAAAGGTACAAATTAGTATCTAAAGTGTACATATTAGTACCTAAAAGGTACAAAAGTGTACCTTTTGAAAAGATACCACCCCAGTGGCAGCTTTTGTACTTTTTTTTCTGAGAGTGTAAAATGTGAAAGTTATTATGTTTAAACATGGTTTCATTGTAATTCACCCAAAAATCGTCCCCATCGTCCATTTGTATAGACAATTTCCACAGAAGGAAAAAGTCACAAGAGTCAGTAAATGATGACATTTATTTTTGGGTGAATTTTCCATTAATTTCTATAAATGGTACATTTTTAGGTGGATTTTCCTGAAAGGTACACACACTGTGGCTCTGTTTGTCAAAACATGGCTGACTTGCTTTGAAAACCCTGACCAGCTTGGTTCAACCAATGGTGTGAGTTTGGGCAGAGCTGCCTGACCAATGGCATATGAGGAGAGGCTGTGGCCTTGCCAAGGTCTCATGACCTTGCGTACGCATCAACATTTCTTTTTAAGATGTCTCTGCAAACTAGACTGTTTCTCACAGGGTCTCTGACCACATGCAATGAGATCGACCCCCACAGGAAACCAAGGCTGCCGAGAAGGGACAAAACCATCTTTCCACAGAAAAGTGTTCAAAATCAGTCATAATTTATTCAATAAATTCATAATGAAACGACACATGATCAACAGATTACATTGTTGAAATAAAATGTTTATTAATCAAGTTCTTGCTTCACACCTTCAAGAATAGCTTTTATCCAACTTAGAAATTTGGAAATCTTGGTGTAGACATTCGGTAGCTTAGGTGAGTTACAGTTGTTTAGCTCGTTGAATGAAACGACACCGACTGCGACATTATTGCACACCAAGGGTCCTCCAGAATCCCCCTGAGAAAAGTCATGAAAGTTATAGGCTGTTAATGAAATTAAACTGTCACACTATTTTTGATTTGTCCAGAAGATTCTTAGTACCTGGCAAAATCCTCCGCGACCACCTGCACACACCATACGTGAAGTGGAGTAATTTTTTCCCCAGTACTTCTTACATTCTTTTGCATCAATGATGGTGACGTCCACCTCCATAAGCTTAGCACTCGCTGCACCTTTGGTGTTTTTTTTCCCCCATCCTGCAACACTGCATTTGACCTTGGTCTTGATGTCCTTATTTTTCTTTGGTATGGAGATCCAGTTGACGTTCTTGCTCTTATTGACCTTTTCATGTAGCTACAGCAAGAAATTCAGTCATTAATGCTGATCATTTTCAAAATGTATACAAATTGGATGACCAACTTTTTTGTATTTATAAATGTAATGTAAAGGTATACTTTAAAACAATTACATGATAGTAATTAAATATTGTAAATATTGTTCAGTTTGCAGCATATAGGATCAGATCTCTAAGGTTTTGTTGATACAAAAATCTTTTTTTGTGGCATATTCAATCTTAAATCTTGTAATTAGAACAAAAGAGAAAACACAAAATCAGTAATGTTTCCAATGTGTCTCAGTCTGAAAAGTCAAATCAGGTTTCAAGTAGCTTTTGTATCACTTTGTTAGTATGAGAAACAATGTACACCAGATATTGACAGCACTGTATGAATTAAAGTATTTCATCACTTGCAAAATTAACTGACCAGTTGGTCCTTATTATCAGATGTGAAACCAAATCAGCATTGTGTGCAATGTGAACAAAGCCCAAGGGAGTAGGACGTTCATGATACTTTTCTGTTCCTCAAAATGTTCTTTAGCGTATAGTTAAGAAAACAATTGTTTTATTGCAGTTTGCTCTGCAAAACCAAGCTGAGTCATTTACCTGAAGTAGCATGATGTCATTTAGCAGACTTTTAGACTCATACCCAGGGTGAATGTGGTAGAACTTCACATCCATGTGGCAAGAACCATGAGTGTAATCATGAGCTCCAACCACAACTGTCAGCTTCTCTCCTCTGTCAAGATGAGGAAGAAAACATGCATTCATGGTTTACTGGTAAATGAAGACTGTTCAAAATTTAGTTTAGCATTTCAGGCTTGACCTAAAACAATATGCATTTGAAACCATGTTAATGTATTTACATACTTTGCCATGATGCTTCCATTGCAAAGCCACAAGCTTTAGCTCATGCTCAAAGCTCAACTTTAGCTTTTTAACTCTAGCTTTGGTTTAAGTTAAAGCACATTTTGTGTTCAAAAACTAATTGTTAGACTCCCTAAACTCTAACGTTTCCAAAAGTGATGCCTTTGAAGAGCCATTTTTGGCTCCCCAAAGAACCCTTCAGTGAAGACTTTTTAATAATCTAATGAACCTTTTGTGCAATGGAAATGTTCCATATATTAAAGGTTCTTCATACATCCATCAATGCCAATAAGGATCCTTTATTTTTTGAGATTTTAGGAGTCGTGGACCCATTTGTTTGTGTACTATTATAGCACGTGTCATTTCCAAAGTAGTCACACCAAGTGAAGACCCTTTTGCAGCAGTATGGGACTCTCTTTGACTCAAAAAAAAAAAACACACACACTTACTCTTTAAAACAGTGCGCAGCCGTCATGACAAACTGTTCAGATACAAGGAAGCCACCACATTTGTGTTTGTTATCACTTTGAACTGAAACCATGTAGGGTCTTGAATGAGGTTTGGCTTCTGTGCCGTTTACTATACCCACTTGCACAGATGCTAAGAAAGAAAAGAGAAAAATTAGTATAGGTTGGTTAAATGAGAAGTAGACTTTTCTAAATGTTCTTTCAGATCAACTTACAGTTTAGAGCAAACAGTGCATAAAATGAACATTAATGCATTAATTTGCATAGTTATGATAAATGTAAAAGACAATGCAATAAGTCAGTTCATTCCCATTATTTTTCTACCTGGAGCAGTCAGATATGGTAGCAGGGTGACTAGCAAAAGCACGGAGATGATCATGATGCTGTTCTTGGAAGGTTTCTCTGGAGTGCTGAAGATCTCCTCAGTGTTGATGGTGGTATTTAATGCAAAATGGGCTGGTTTAGCTACCCAGTAGTGATCGTACTTCCTCTATCACACCTTGATGTGGCTTTCATTTTGCACTGAAGTGGAAAAGATAGGTCTTATGTTTGTGGTCTTAATGGGAGTAGACTATTCTCCCCCATGTATGATGTAATCCACGCCTAATGTTTCTTGTAAAATTAGATGCGAGAGATCTGGTAAGAGCTTAGAAAAACTGAATCACAGTGTCTATGTGGCTAGATCTCTAAAGGCTGATTCACACTTCACTTAGTGACACTGAAAAAGAGTAACAGACACGTTTGTTGTGTTTTGTCTGATTGGACGGCGCTTGTTTTCACCAACTGAACATGATTGATGTTGGATTGCACCAAACCGTTGGTCAGGTCTTGAAATGTCTGAGAAGTGACGTCCTGTACTTGGTTGGATCTCGGTATTGGTCTACGTCCTAACTCACACTTTTTAGTTTACTTTGCTTAATGTACAACAATTTATTGATTTTAATCGTAATAATCTAGTACTATTTTAATAATAATAATAGTCAGTACTATTTGGGTACTATGCTTTTGTTACTCAGAAAACTGATTTGATTTGTATACCATTCTATCAAGTTCTAGTTCCCAGAATGCTTTGCTTCAGACTCTAGGAGTGAATGTTGAAATTAAGAGTTGTGTTATATGTCTTTGCATAAGGTTAATATAGTGAGTGATCTGTTAACTTTTAATGTTATGTTTGGTTTTAAAAGGGTCTCTGTTATCGCTGCATTTTGAGGGTATTAGCGTTGTGCTGTAGAGCAGAGCCTGTGGTTTGGTCGAAGATTGGTCTAGAAATGTTAAGACCATTCACTGCTTTATTTAAAAAGCATTAATAATTGCAGTTGTTGATGCAGTGGTGGTCTCTCTGGTTATGTTAGCACATGCATGTGTGCTATTGGTAGCTGAATAACTGTAGCACTTACTCAACTGGAGAAACACTTGATCTTTTTAAGGTGGTTTGGTTTTAACACATAAATCCGTTTGCTCATCAGGTTGATACAACGGAGAAGTTTCCAAAAACCTTACATTAGTCAGCTCAACTTAAAGTTGAGCTGTTTGGAATAGACACCCAGTATATTTAACTTAAAATGAATTTAAAACTAAACTAAAAAGTGTTTTACTTTACTTTTATAAGGAAATTATTATTATTTTTGAAGTAAGGTCAACTAATTAGCCTTCTTTATTTTTATAATTTTTTTAAATGAAGATTTTACATAATTATTATTATTTTTTTTTTTTACAAATTAAATCCTGGAGGGTTTTCCAAGCTTATTTTATTTTATTTTGATCTGTCTGATTTTATTTTACTTTTTTGTTGTTGTTGTTAAAAACAGCACAATTTATGATACCTTTTTTATTCCTTTACCTTTTGGTGTTGACTGGAAATTGAGTGTATTACTAAGATGGCAACTAAGTGAACTAATGTGAAATGACTTTGGACGTGTGTCCCATGTAATATTGCAATTATCTGTGGTGACAATGAGGACACTACGACTGATTGATGCTGCCCATGCGATACGTTTATTGAAAGAAGGTTTATGAAAGTTTATGAAAAAATTTCTTCCTTTTTTGTTTTCCATGAAGTTACTTTTTTACATTTCTGAGGATATGGTGGATCCAAGGAAGATATGCTGAAATCTTAGTATACACATTAGGATGCTCAGGTGAATTGCAGCATAATTTACTTCCAAAAGATGTGACACCAACTGCAGTGTCTCCACAAACCAAAGGACCTCCTGAATCTCCCTGTTAAGAAACACAGATCAACACAACACTAGTAAAATCAGTTCATACATTATCATAAAGTCTGTGAATAATTTTATTTTTGGTTCATACTTTGCAGGATCCACCACCGCCATATGCACAAATCATCTGTAAGGCGGAGTAGCTGGGTCCCCATTTACGTTGACACTGTACGTGATTTAGTGTAGTCACGTATGCCTCCATTAGACGATCGCTCAGTGAGCCATTAGTCCACAGTCTTCCCCAGCCCGCAACACTACAGAGAGTATCCACATTGACGTCTTTGCTGTCCTTTGGCAATGATATCAGTCCAACATTGTTGTTTAGTCTGACTTTTTTATATAGCTGTAATTCAAAAACACAACCATTAATAATAAACAATCTTTTAGAAGGCTGAATTTCTGTTGATTTTTACTGCTGTACTTGTGGTTAGGACAGAAGCCCCAAAATCCAAGGTGAATTAAAAATGTTTTAAAGGGGTCATATGATGCTGCTAAAAAGAACATTATTTGGTGTATTTTGTGTAATGAAATGTATTTATGTGGTTTTAGGTTAAAAAAAACATTATTTTCCACATACTGTACATTATTGTTGCTCCTCTATGCCCCGCCTTTCTGAAACGCGTCGATTTTTACAAAGCTCATCAGTCTGAAAAAGCGAGGTGTGCTGTGATTGGCCAGCTATCCAGTGCGTTGTGATTGGCCGAATTCCTCAAGCGTGTGACAGAAATGTTACGCCCCTTAC